TTTAGATGAACTCTTGAGTCTGCTTCTGTTGCAGAGACTCTGCTGTAAAGCACTTCTTATTCGTTCTTCATTCTCTTCATAAGATATTTGCAGAGAAGCCAATTTTTTAGCTTAAGTTAATTTGTTCTTACCAGAGGTAAACCCATTGTGGCACACTGGTTTTAACAAATTGTGAAGTTGTTAACCCCTGCATACACACCTCAGACCAGATCTGTGAATTTGGGTCAATGGCATGCTACAGGAACAAGGGAACAGAAAGAAACCCGCATTGTCTTCCACATTACCAATATTTTGGCCATTAAAAAGTATTTGAAACTTGGATATAGGAGCAAACTTGTAATTTTGTGATGAGTGTTCTCCATGAAGTATTTTTTTAGCTCTTTTAATGAGTTTGGTTGATATAAAATGGGTCTGAGAGAACTATACCTATCAGCTGCTTACAGAAAATATATTTTGAAATTGAAGATACTATTATAAAATGATATGATTTGTTTTCATAATGCAGATTATTTTTGATTCTTGATTGCTTTGGTAGCTTTGGACAGACCAGTCAGGGAGAATTTAAATCTATGAGTCTGAGATCTGTCAGCAAAAAAAAAAAAAAAAAAAAAAAGCAACTGCAAATAAATGTTGTTACAAAGACGATCTCAAGGGGAAATGACGCTTTCATACCTTCTGGTGGGCCTGAAGGAGATTAGTACTTCTGAACTCAGACTGTGTGGAAGTGCCATGCAATTTAATTTTCCAGAATGTTTTTAATTACCAGTTATGTTAAATAAGTTAGTGTGTACTTGAACCATTATAGACTGCTTTTTCATTGTCCTCAGTACTGGAATTTGTTCTGTTCTGTTCGCAGACCTCCCATTCCCACGACAAACAACCGCACACTTGGAGCCTGAAGGTAACACCTGTGGATTACCTGCTGGGAGTGGCTGATCTAACTGGAGAGCTGATGCGGCTGTGCATCAGCAGTGTTGGGAATGGTGACATAGACACGCCTTTTGAACTGAGCCAGTTCTTATGTCAGATTTATGATGGTTTTACTTTCATTGGCAACACTGGACCTTATGAAGTATCTAAGAAGCTGTATACCTTGAAACAGAGTCTGGCAAAAGTAGAGAATGCCTGCTACACGTTAAAAGTACGGGGATCTGAAATTCCAAAGCACATGCTGGCTGATGTGTTCTCCACCAAAACGGAGATGATTGACCAAGAGGAGGGTCTTTCTTAAAATAAGGAGACTGTTGCAACTCAGAAGGGAAGAGGACTTAGAAAAAGACTTTTAGTTATAATTTGTGGGGTTTTGACCCTTCTCAAAGCTTTTTAGGTAGAGACATTTTTAGTTTTATCTATGAGAAAATTGTTTGCAGTGGTAATTTGTAACCAAAAATACTTTTTATGATGTGCAAAAGAACAACCATTTGACTTTGTCCTCTCGGTATGGAATTTCCTGTATTGCTCCATTGTATCTTCTTTCAGAATGACCAAAATTTCCACTGCACTCTACACCAGTGACTGTTTGTTGTGTGAGTCACCTCAAACTGTTGTGATTGCTGATAAGTTTTCAGCAAGCACAGCAGTGGGAAAAAAAAATGGTTAGGTACTGTTGTTTAGCATATCCATAGGTTTCTGCTGACCTGTTTTCCAAGTATTTGGGTTCCGTACCGATCTGACACCTAAACCAATGCACCTACATATGTGTAAGTTCATCTCTTGACTTGAAACTGCGGTGGTCTCAAAGGTGCCATGTGACTAAAGTTATCTCTGATTAATGCTTTTGAGCCTGAAACTGAAGCTAAGTCAACTTTTTACCAATTGATAATGAAGCTAATTGCACCAGGTAAATCACTACTGTGCACTCATTATTTTGGGGCTCTGTTTAAATTGAACTCTGTTCAAGTTAACACTGATACTTCACAGTTTTGACATGAGCTAGAAAATCCACAAAGAAAAAGTAAATTGTGGAACATATTGGTTTACATTTTTTGCAGTAGAGTTTAATGCAGAATCTGACATCTTTCTGCTTGTAGACAAAAGCAGAAGACCTACCAAGTATGTTTAACATGAATAATTTGGTGTTAGGACAAGCAGGTTTTGGTCAAAACAAATGCAGTATAGTGTTGGAAGTCTGTTCTCCATTGTTTGTGCTGCCCTGAGGACCTCCAGTGGGGTTGAACTGATACACGTGAAAAAGGGCTAGCCAAGCTTTAAATATCTGTTAGCAGGAACTATATCATGTGCATGTTCCTATGGAAAGGAAATTGCTAACAGAAATAAAGCAGACATTCTGACTTCCACATTTATCTTTGAGGTGGGTATGTCACCGTTGGCAAAAAATCAGGGCTTTCTGCCGGTGTCTGAAGTTATGAAAGTCTGATAATGTACATTATGCTAAAGGAAAACAGATAAAACAACATGATCTTTAGACTCCAGGAAATAGGCCTCCCAACTGCAATTGAAAATACTGCATGTTTTTTATTTCCACTTCCATATGCTGTGATACAGCCAATATTTTTCCCATGAGCATGTCCTGAGTAGCTGGGATCATCTGGTATATGGATAGGAATGGGTAAATACATTTATGTCACATTTTTCTATTGTTTCCACATAAAGCAATATGTGGTGGGTTGAACAAGGATTGCCTTTTTTCCTATTGTTTAATACTATTGTTTACAATAAATTCTGAAAAGCAGTCACTGCCTGTACGTTGGTCCTTTTGCCTCTCTGTCCCAGTGGCAACAGTGCAAGTTTCCCACTGTGCAGGCCTTGGCTTGGAAGTTTCACTCCATTCCTGTACTCATACTTTCTAATCCTGAATCTCTTTTCTCTTTCTCACTTAACTTTGTTCTGTGAAGTCCAAAAACTAGTTAGGATAGAAACTTCATGTGATCCTCTTGAATTAGAAAAAAATGCCGAGGATGCAGATGGCAAAACAAGTTTATTGCTGGAATAAATCTGTAGTGGTACCCATGTTTTTACATCTGTCCTTGGTTTTTTTCTCTGCTTTTTTTTTTTTTTTTTTTCTCATGGGTGGAGAGGAAAGGAAGGAGAAGGATACTTACTAATAAGGAATGGTTTTGTTTTGTTTTGTTTTCCCAGAAATGTATGCATCTAGTATTTCAGCTGATGCAGGTAGGAGTATAGTTCTCTGTCTTTTGACACAACTAAATTTACTGCAAGTAATTACTTGTTGAGTGTATGTGTGTGAAGCGAAAGCAGATATTGTTAGAGGTATTGTGTGATACTAAACAGAGGTCTGTCTCTTGTCTGTCCTAGCAGCTATCAGGTGGAATTGAAAAATTTTCACGTCACAGTTTGAAAAGGGATGGGATGAACGCGCCAGCGCTCGGCCAAGTGCTGTTCTATCTCTAGCCATGGAACGAGCACACAGCAGCCACTGCTTTAGTCAAATAGCTGCTGCTTTTGTAGAGTCATTCATTATTTTTAAATTACAGATGTCTAAAAAGAGTACGTTTTTCCTAGCAGTCTCTGTAAGTAGAGGTTCTTTCAAAAAATACATGTTGGTTTTAATGATTTTGAGATTTAAATTTTCTGTAAGGCAAGAGAAGACTTTTTAATGACAGACATGATTTCTAAACTTCAGGCTGCCTGCCCACAATCAAAAGCTGTAATTTCTGATAGGGAGCAAAGTGTATGTGTGGTGTATTAAAACACCAGCCCAGATGGGAAATGGCTAATGGCCTGCAAGCCTCCTGCTCAAGGAAATATTTTCCCCCAAAAAACAATTACACTGTAGCTATTTGAAAAGTGACAGACATTTATCAGCAAAACAAGCTGCTAAACAAGCAATGGCAATTTTCCCATTTCTTATCCCATTACTCTGTGGAGCTATTGATACGTTTGGTCTACAGCCAGAACAGGACTACGTCATAGCAGATGTTTCACCAGGGCAGCTCTGCGTGCTAAAAATCATTTGCCTTTCTAGCATCTCCTTTCTCAGAAATGATTTTACTTCACGGGTTCACTTTTTTCCTGACTATTAATTTGCAGTGAGGAAAATAAACCCAACCACATTTAGATTCCCAGAACTGCCAGAGAAGTTATGCAAGAGAAACTTCCTGTTGACAGGACATGTGCCTGTCTACTTCGAGTCCTGCTTACTTGGATTTTCAGTGAGTTTATTGGAAATCAAAAGCAAAAAAAAAAACCCAAAACTGGAACCTATTATAATATTTAGCATATTAGGTGCCTTATGGAATTCTATGGACCAGAATCTGGCACTGCCCTCAAGGAGTTTGCAATTTAAGACCAGGCAAAAGAGTAGCCAAGACAAACAAAAGGAAGATGGTAGAAGTGGGAGTAGATAAAGTGACGGGATTTTTACCAGAAGACTGTGTGTGATAGTAGGTTGGTTTACCACTTCCCATTTTGAAAAAGAAACTTGTCAAAACTTCAGAAAGTCTGGAATGCGACAGTAAAGGGTTAGCTGGGAAGGGCGAAGGCAGTGGAGAGGCAAAATGGAAGGAAGTGAGGTAGAGACAAAGGGGGGAAGAGTGGCGAGGAGTGGGACAGCATGGAGGAAGAGCAGGGTGAGCTGCAGGACAGCGGGTGCACATGTGAGTAGGGTGGGACTGGGGAGGACGTGGGACAGGAAGACGGCCCCGCAAGAAGTTGGAAACAACACATCGAAACCAGGTGACTCAGCTATAAAAGAGACTTGGAGCTGACCATAGGAACTGAATTTTAAATGACCACAAGGTCCCCAAAGCATCTGTCTGTCTCCTGGGGTCATAAATAAGGGGAACTTGATTTTCCGAGCATCTGGGAGCCTGCGGGTCCTGGACTGAGCAGGGTTTGCAGGCTTCCAGCTGTGCTGTCACAAATCAACAATAAACTCAGACCCCATACCACCCAACTTCCCACGCACGTTCCTTTCACTCCCGTACTGTTAGCCAAAAAACCTTGACGTGTGCACTACCACCCTTTGCAGCTGTTAGAGACATGGTTAGATACAGGTTTTAACATAAAGGAATGCTTACGGTGACCGGTGTTTTCCCCTTGTGTGCTGTTTACATGTCCTTTTCGCTGTCGTTGCTGCTTCAACCCTCTCTCTGTTTCTTCCCTTTATTGATCCTTTCTTGGGTTGTACCGTTCTTTGGAGCCATTGCCCATGTCCATCCCGTGGTTTGGTTCTTTCTGTGTTTAGCTGGTATCCTGGGGTAAAACATCTCCATACGGGAAGAGGAATTGGTTGGTTTCTTAGGTAGGTTTGTCTACTTGCACCTCCAAATTTGGCAACAGTGCTCTGGGTGTCAGGGGGCAGGTCTGGTACACCTGCACGCAGCCAGGGCCTGGTGCGTGTGTCCTGCGGCAGCCGTGGTGCCGTGTGTCAGGGTGGGTGGGTGGGCAGATCTCATGTTGCTTTTGCAGGTGAGCAAACCTTAGTTATTCTGAGGTTTGCAATCACCACGAGCCAAGGTAAACTGCCTACAAACATGAAAGAAGTTTCTTCTCCAGTTCTGAGAAAGGTTGTCTTTGAGGAATATTATTTCCCACCGACTCCACCTCTTTTACCTGACCCATTATCTCTTTGACAGGCCTGTTTGCAGAATGTAGCAGAAGAGACTGGCCTATGACTTCTTCTGGAGACAGTCAGTGCCTCCCTGAACACTGGCCAAAAGTGATGTGATGGCTCCTTTCTCAGCTCCTCCCACAGGCCGGGCAGGCTGGCTCTGGTGTCCCTCCAGCCACCCAGGGGGGCTGAACTCTGAGCCTCCACTATTGGATTTTTGCAGACCAGTGACTTGTGGGTTTATCCTCTGTTTTTTTTTGTTTTTTTTTTTTTTTGTCTAGTGGTGGTGTTTTCATGTCATGCAGATGTTCATTCCTCCCAAAGAAAGAAGCTGTTGTACATGCTTTGCTCCACCACTGCCACAGTATGTCAGATGACTTATTGAGCCCATCATAAACTGTTTCTTGGCTACTAGTGCAGTGCAGATGACATGGGACATCATCTCTGGGCACTTCTCCCACAGCGCTGTGCCTTCCTGCAGGCTTGCAAGTCACTTTTAATCTAGAAGGGTCCTACCACTTCCATTTATTTCTTCCTCAATGTCATCTCCTCTGAGGGTCCCAGCAAGAAAAATTGACAAAACTGATCTGGAAATAGCCCAGGTTTTTGTTAAAATGAGCTCTTCCATTCATGGGGACAGAAACCAGATGGATGAAGGATGCACTTGAATAGACTACCCTGGGTGTTTTGATGTCAAAGAATATTGTTAAGTGCTGGCAGTCTCATTTTAGGAGAGAGTGGAGGTTGTTTCTCGCTTTGCAGCAAAGACTGTTGGTAGGTATGCTTTGCTTTGCATACCTCACACCTGAAGGGAAGGGTGACAGACAGGAGATGCCAGGGCTGTGAGGGAAAATGAGTGAGATGAAGCAGTGTAAGGTCATATAGAAAATCAGTCAGGAGCCTGGGGTTAGATGTGGCTCTTTCAACTTCCAGCCCAGCTTCCACTGCTGCCAACCTGAGCTCCTGCTCTCCAGAGTCAAGGCAAGAAGCTGCTCCACTGAGATGTGAAGGCTACTCGCATGTGCAGGTGTGTCACCTGCCACGTGTGTGTGTGTGTGTTTGTGTGCCCGGTGTGCACGTAACAGCATTAGAAATGCTGATCACAGAATCATAGAAACAGTTTGAGTTGGAAGGGACCTTAAAGATCACCTCGTTCCAACCCCGCTGCCACGGGCAGGGACACCTTCCCCCAGCCCAGGGTGCTCAAAGCCCCGTCCAGCCTGGCCTTGAACCCTTCCAGGGAGGGGGCAGCCACAGCTGCTCTGGGCACCCTGTGCCAGTGCCTCAGCACCCTCACAGGGCAGAATTTATTCCTTATATCTAATCTAAATCTACCCTCTTTCAGTTTAAAGCCATTACCCCCTGTTCAATCACTACTCCCTGATAAAGAGTCCCTCCCCATCTTTCCTTTAGGCCCCCTGTAAGTACTGGAAGGCTGCTATAAGGTCTCCCCAGAACCTGCTCTTCTCCAGGCTGAACTACCCCAACTCTCTCAGCCTGCCCTCATCAGGCAGGTGCTCTGGTCCCCTGATCATCTTCATGGCCTCCTCTGCAAGACCTGCTCAGGCAGCTCCATGTCCTTCTTACGTTGGGCACCCCAGAGCTGGACACAGCACTGCAGGGGGGGGTCTCACCAGAGCAGAGCAGAGGGGCAGAATCCCCTCCCTCGACCTGCTGGCCACGCTGCTCTTGCTGCAGCCCAGCACACGGGTGGCTTTCTGGGCTGTGCGTGCACGTTGCAGGCTCACAGTCAGTTTTCCATCCGCTAATATCCCGAAGTCCTTCTCCGCGGGGCAGCCCTCAATCCACTCATCGCCCAGCCTGTGTTTGTGCTCGGCATCGCCCCGAGCCGTGCGCAGGACCTCGCACTTGGCCTTGCTGAAACTTCAGGGGGTTCGCACAGTCCCGGCTCTCCAGCCTGTCCAGGCCGCTCTGGATGACATCCCTCGGTGCCAGCCCTTCCTGCCCTCCAGCGTGCCGACCGCGCCCCCCAGCTCGGTGCCCCCGCCGAGGCTGCGCGGGAGCCCGCCGGCCGTGTGCCCGACCGGGACGTGGAAGAGCACCGGCCCCCTGGGAGGGCCGCTGCCCCCCGCTTCTCCCCCCGCGGGCACCGAGCCGTTGCCCGCAGCTGCGGGGCTCGGGAACGCCCCGTTCCTTGCCGCTGCTTTCCCCAGCGGATCCATTTCTTCGAGCCCGTTTACGGAGCTGCGTGGGCGTTTGCGCTGCCCCCCACCCGCGGCGGGCAGGGTGCGTGCTGACACCTCGTGGTGCAAAACGTTTCCTTTGCTTTCGCCCCCCGAGCCCTTTTTCCGGCCTTTTCAGCTCAGCCTTTGCCCTCCGCGGCTCCCGCTCGATGTGCTGTTGCAGGAAGGTTGCTTTACAGAAGCAAAGCAATCATCAGCAAGTAATTTAGATCCCTTTTTCTTAATTTGAGCTCGTGCAGCGTCCTACCAGCTTGCAGTTACACCGACTGCTCCTAAATCACTTGGGCTCAGTCAGGATTCTTGCCTCTCCACAAAAATCTTTTCTTGTCTGTTGAATGGTGGGGGAGAGTTTGCCCGGGCCCTACTCCAAACGTGCGTTGTATGGGGAAAGGGCAGCCGCAGGCTTTCGTGGTGAGACCTGAGTTTGTGACTAAATCACGATGCTCATTGTAAAGAACATAGACGGTTTAAACCCAATCTTAACAGAGCCTGGCTCTGCAGGAACTGATCAGAAAAATCAGGGCAGCTATAAGCTTTCAATGTGTTTTAGATATATGTTATACTTTAACTTCTCCGAGCCTGCCTTCTTACTGAAAGGATGCGTGTTTATCCATTATTAGCGAACACATATTTGTTCTGCCACCTAGTGTCCAGCTCTAGAAATACCCCAAACAAGCTTCTATGAGTGAGTTACAAGTTATTTGCTGGTTTCTCTTTCTTATAAACACGATGAGTGGTGCAATGTAAGCTTCATTTTTAGACATAGGTAGGCCTCTGATAGCAATAAATCATACTCAGTGCCTTCTACTATTCGAAAATTTGGAGAATAGCAAGGAATAGCATATGTTTATTTTATATCTTCTCATATGTATGTATGGTGTTTTGAAGACAAATAAATAAAAAGCCATGAGAAAACTTCAGCTAGATGTGTTCTTGCAGACTTGTGAATTATACAGATACTCTTATTTTAACTAGTATTTTTAAGGACTACCAGTGCTAATAAGGATTTTTAGACTGGAGTCCTAAATTCCTTAATTTATGTTATAATCATGCTACCCACATGGGAAAATGCAAGCCTTACTTAGCTGTTGAACTCCTGGTATAAAATAAAATGCTCCTGCATGTGTGAACGTGCCCGTGTTCTTCCCTGCCGTGACTATGGGTGCCCCAGAAAACCCTCAGGTAGAAAGCACAAGTGACTTCACACCCTCGAGATACTGTCTGTAGCATAAAAGAAGTGGCTGCGCTGCGCTCTGAGAGCAGAACGGGGCTGGGGTTGGTGCTTAAGCCCTGGGACATTGCCCAGTGGGTGCTGAAGGAGATTTGGTCTCTCTCATTGTCCTAATCCCTCAGCAATCCCTTGCCCTGTGCTGCTTGGGGGTCTCCGGGCCAGGAGAGACCTGGCGTGCACCACGGCAGGGGGATGATGAAGCACCACAGTGGGCTTTTAAACCAGAGTTGTTACTTGGATTGCCCCAGTGGAAAGGCACTGATAACAATCACTTATAAAATTGCATCAATAGACTTAAAAATGGTGCCACTGTCACCGTGGAGGTTTATTTATTCTTCTAAAGGTCATTCAAGGGTAATTTAAGGGTCCTTCTACAGGGCCCATTCATTACCGAGTACCTTCCACAGGATATCCACCCTGGGACAGAGAGCCATCGAACAGCGCAGATCTCCTGTTCTTACACCCACAGTTCCTGCTTGTCCTACACCCAGTGCCGGTGTGGTGGGCTGGCACACTGGGAACGACCGGGCAAGGCTGGTGCGCCTGGACACGTGGCTGCAGACATCTATTGCCACCCAGGCACTCTGCAATACAAAATTAGCCCTGTTTTACGTTCTGTTGTCACAGTCATATCTGAACATCTTTGGCTTTTTGTAGCTTAGCTGGGGGCCAGATACCCTATTAATGTAAACTGCTTTCTGGATTACAGCCATGGGAGGAAGGAGATGCTAGTTTGTTTTAGAGCAGTTCCTTTGCCTGTGGAAGATCACAGGTTTTGGAGGGATTTCTGCCTTTTTCCGCCACAGCTTGACAAAGAGTGAGATTTCTTAGGAACCTCTGAATGTGTAAGACCCAACTTGCATTGTGTAGAAAGATAGTAGAGAGTTGGAGTCCTCTAAGTCTTTTGAATAAACTCAGGTGAGATTCCAGCTGATGTCTTCAGTAAAAACACTTTGAAATCTCTAGCTCTGGTGGTGAAGCTAGTGGCATCCCTCACCTGCTGAAGCTCAGCAGCTACATCCTGCAGCTCAGCCTCAGGTCAAAGCTCTCCCTGAAGTCATCAGGAGCTCTGGGCTGCACTTGATGCTCCCTCTGGGCAGCAGGAAAACCTAGAGATAGGCAGCTATGAAGGTGTCGCTGCACCTTGGCAACCCTTCCCTGGCCTGCCTGTGGCCCTGCTTCTTTTCTGATTTTCATGTCCTTTGTTTTTGGGAATCGCATTTTGCTGCAGGGTGTTACCATGGGGGGTTGCTGATGCAGCACCTGAAAACAGAACAACTGGTATATGAGTACATACTTGTATTTTTGCCCTGTTCCCTGCACTCTTCCCTCCCCACTGCCCTGTGCGCACACACGGAGCATACCCATAAAGATGTGGAAAATGAGGTGAGCTGCTGGGTGAGAGAGTTTGCTCACACTGAGATATCCGCTGTAGTAAAGACAACAGTTGACTGAAAAATGCAGAACATTATGAGACTGCAGAGTGACAGGATGGGGGGAAACAGATTGAGTGTAGGTAGATGTGAAGTGATACACACGGGGAAAAATAATCTTGGTGTATCCCCTTCAGGATCAAAATATTAGGATTTTTTCCATGAAAATATCAACTCAATGCTTGTCAGCAAGCAAAAAAGCCAGTCA